AAACCATCATCCATCAAACCAGGACCACACAAGTAAGTGTGAGAGTGATAGTCATATACAACAAGTAGTCCCCAAAAAAAAAGGTTTTGATATAATGTACACTCAGGGATAGAATGTCCCACATGAAGTGCCGCCAACATACACTCAGGAGCAGAATGCCCCATACACAAACGTCCCGAGATCGTAACCCACTCAACTCACTCAAAACCACACTCACACTAATGCCGTCCTTAAAGCACAAGCTGGGTTTGTCTCTCGAAGATCAGGGCATAGGTCACCTAAGTATGTACATGCGTCATCTACCATGTCCTGGCCCTTAAGATGGCAGACTCAACAAAAGCCAAACCCTAACTGCTCGACAAATGCAAACAACACCTAGGTCTACAGAATGTCATCCAATCCTAACTCTAGTCCTACACGCAACATGTCAACCATATAGGTAACTCAGTCCAGATCACTCATCTCCTCCTGGTTTTGCCTATATAGTTGAGCCCTACCCCCATCTGCAAATCTCTCTACTCTCCTGCCCTGTCTATCATACATCCTGCCTCCTTCCTCTGTAACCTTCCCTTCGGCCTTGTCCTTCAGGAACTTAGGACACTGCAAGGCTCGATGCCTCTCCTTGGTACCGAAGAAACAGGATGTATCGAACCACTTTCTGGGCCTCTTCTTTCCCCTCTGAGACCCCGACGATGATGGTGCTTCGCTGGCCTCCCTGCTCAACTCATAGCTCTGAGGCTTATCCAAAGGCTCCTCTCGTGTCTCCACCTCCTAGGTACTCGGTCCAGGTCGGTCCTCAACCCCCTCTGGCCCATACTCAGGCGTACCTTACCTCTGGAGCCCGCCCTCGATGACACCCTCAGCCTCAATCCTCATCTCTCTCGAGAGAGACTCCTCTATCCTCTGCTCAGGCGAAAACAAACTGGCCTCTTCCTGCATCGAGTGCACTGCCTCAATAAGCACGTCCATAGATCCCTCTGTCGAACCCTGAGCTGACTCACTACTGGATGGTGGTAGCCCCTCCTCAACTGCCAAAGGTATGATTGGGCCCGTCGTTGCTATAGGTAGCGTCGCGAGCTCAGTACGGGCTCTGAACTCGAAGGCCTCTCTCTCTGCCTCCCTCTGGGCTCTCGCCTCCTCTGGCTCCAGGATAACTCTCCCCATAGGTGGCTCCTGACGAGTCTCTGCTACAGATGGCTGTCCGGGCAACCCATGTCCTGGCTGCCTCTGCTCTCCCTGTCGGCTGCTCTCTGGCTTGTCCGCCTCTCCTTGAGATCGCTGCCTCAGGCTCTCGATGATAGCTGCCTGGCTGGCCACCAATGCCCTGAGTTCYTGGATTTCCACCTCCATAGCCTCCAGGCGTACTCCATGGCCTGCTTCCTTTATCTTCTTCTYTGCYAGATCGCTCTCCAATWGCAAGTACCGGTCAAAAGTTGTCTTGGCCAGGAACTTGATTTTGCGATCCAACCTTTCTTCCGCCTTTCTGGCTACTCTAAACCCGTCTCTGGTCGGCGAAGGAAGCTCCTCTCCTCTCTGCTCCTAGAAGTCCCTCCACATCTCTGGGATCTCCGGGGCCTTGACTGGCTCGCTGGGTGGCTGACCCGGGAGTGCCCTTGCTGCCTCCAATTTCTGCCTTTCTTGCCATATCTCTTCTATTCTCACAGTTTATCTCGCCCTCTTTTCTTCAGCCGTTTATCCAGCTGGCGCCCTCTCCCTCGTGCGGAGGTCGACCCTCTTCGGGATCTCTGCCTCCACCTCCTTCTCAGGCTGGCACGACTCTTGGCACGGCTCTGCAGGTGCTGGCTCCTCCAGGTCCGGGTGCTCCAGGGCATGAGCCGCTAGGTGTCTGTCAATCAGGGTCAAGGCTTCTCTCCTTACAGCTGCCCTTTCTCTCCTCTTTTTTGCTCTCCCCTCTSGCGAAGGAGCCTTTTCTGATGAAGGCAATGGGGCCTCCTCTCTCTGCAATTCCCCTCCTGTCTGGCTCGTGCTCCCACGTGCATCTCCAAGTCTCAAGCCCACCGCTGGCGTCTGAGGGGGCGTGTCCTCTCCAACCTCTATYWCTTCCTTCCCTGCACGTCTCTCCTCATYGCCCAACCCTCTCTTTCGCTGAGTRTCCTGGACCTCCTCCTGTGGCACCTCCTCTCRTGGCACCTCCTCTGCCTGCTCTCCAAGCTCCTCACCCCGAGGCGACGCTCTCCACTGAGAGATATCCAAAYKCRCCTYCRACTCCCTCAAAGGCTCCTCAGACGCTGGCGGCTCCTCCTGTGTGCGTGATGGCGACCTCCTCAATCCACCCTCGGCAAACCGATGGAACTCCACTGGTCCCAACCCACACTCAGGGTACACCCCTCGCTCCTCAGCCTCTGGCTCCGGCTCTCGCTCCTCCTCTCTCCTGGCTAGGGCCTTCCGTCCTCCTCGACACGGTCTCGCCTCCCTGGGCTCAGGGTCCCTCTGCCTCTGACTCCTCTGACGCCTCTCAACTCTGGGCTGAGAGGGCTATGGCTGTCGAACGGCCTCTCTCAGATGTGCCCTGCAGCTCTCCCAGTCCCGGGCCATGCTTCTGACTTGGCTAGCCAGTGGCCTTTCCGCCTTCCTCGTCCAGAGTGGTAGCGTCTGCATCCAATTATCTCTCGGTATACCCTGCCCCTGCATGAACCACTCGAAGGCAGGGATRAAGTCTRCCACATTTYCGATCTCTARACRGATCGGCCTGCMATCTGGTCCCAYAGGCGAGGGTCRCAAMTCTTCCATCCTCGCCTCCACCTCCTGCCTCGTCGTCGCCTCCCTAGGAATCCTGGCAATGAGCTCCTCGAACCTGCCTGCTCCCCTCAGTCTCTCGATTGCCTGGGCCATGGTCCAGCCTATACGCCTCGCATGCTCCCAGAAACTGTCYAGGAATAGCTCGATGTCCCCATCATCGTACACCGGAGTACTCTCTCAATGGCGAGGCCCATGTCGCTCATATCCTCCTGATGCTCCCAACGGCCTCCGAGGCGGCCGTGTCCCCCTCCCTCCTCTTGGCATGACTGTCTTCGTAAAGTCAAACCTGCACTACAGGCGAAGGAGACAACAGGCACACATTGGGGTAAACAAACAGGTGATAATCAAGCAAGCTCAGACCAGACCATACTCATGCAGCATACAACCTATCCGACCTACATAACCTATCGCTTGTATTCTACAGGTAGTCAGATCGTCTTTCTTACCTCTTCTCTCGCCACAAATTTCTTCAATCTCGTTCCAGATACCCAATCCTTCCACTCAGTCCCATTCAATTCCTCAATCTGGTACGCTCCGAAGTCTCCAACCCGTATGATCCGGTAGGGACCTAACCACCTCTTATCAAGTTTCCTGGACCATTGCTTTTCCAGCGATGAATCGTAGAGAAGCACGACGTCCCCAATTGCGAGAGGCAGTTTCCTCACCCGAGCAGACTGATCCCATCGAGTCTTATCATCCATACGACTTCTAGCCACTTGATCGGACGCCTCCTGGATCCTTTCCTCTATCGCTCCTATCTGTCGCGCCAGAATGTCGAGCAATTCCTCAAAGGACAGGTCGACTTCTAGATCCTGGCGCCTCCAAGTTTTAAGAAAACTCTCGATAGGGAAGGTGGCAGGTCTTCCATACCACAGTGTCGCAGGTGCGTACTTGGTGGATCTTTTCACTGTAATATTTTCGACAAAGAATGTTGCCCTCAGGTATCTTGGCCATTGATTAGGCCTGCCTTCAGTCCACTTAGCCAGGAGACTCGTAATGGTACTGTGCCCTCTTTTCACCGGAGCGTTTGCTTGGGGGTGCGCGGTCGTGGTGTAGTTAGCTACTACACCATACCTTGATAACAACTCATACATCTCCTGGCAAGTAAATTCCGATCCCCTGTCCATTACGAACTCCCTGACGAAAGGATAACGCAGGTAGTACTCTTCGATCCAGCTAACCAAAATTGAACCAGTCTTGGTACGAATGGCACGACCATCTACGAAGCCAGACAGGTTATCGCGCGCATCGAAGATGTAGTTATAACCCTGATCCCCAAGCGGCATGAAAAGTAGATCGAGATGCACTACAGCCCCCACCTCTCGCTTTAGCCTTGGATGCAGCGGCTCTCCTTGCCTTAAACGGGATCTCTCCTGGCAGGGTACGCAGGATCGACAAAATTTCCCGGCCATGTTCATCATCCCATCCCAGTAGTACAACTCACTTATCTTGGCATACGTGGCTTGTACCCCTTGATGCTCTCCTGCAATGCCATAATGTAGTGTTGCTACGATGTCAATCTGGCGGTTCCTACCGCAGACAACTCTCCTGGGATTTTCCACGTCTCTTCTTACGAAAAGGTGACAGTCTCGCACTAAGTAGCGCTGCATCATCCTCTGAGCCCTATCGCTTGCATCCCCTAGTCGCATCTCGCAAGACAAGAGAAGCCCCAACTCTAGGTAAATCCCATCATACTCTTCTGCGCGAAAGGCCTCCTTAATCTCCCCCTCCTCGAACTCGTCGTCCTGGCTCTCGGACACTTCGTCCACATTCCCTGCCGGGTTTAACGAGCCTGACTGGTCGAGGCTTTCCTGCAGTAGCGTGTTGACGAGGAGATACATTCCTCCCATCAGATCCTCATGCCGTTCTACGTGGCCTGGTCCTTCCTCGATCGTCCTCATGTCTTCCACCAGACTATGCGAACTGGCCAGCGCCAACTCCATCGTCCACTAAACATCCTTATCTCCGCAAGGATCTTCTTCTTCAAAGGATTTGAGGGCTAGCTCTGCCCTCCTTTTGTATCCACTCGGCGCTTGCCAAATAGGATAGCCCACACAGCTGGGTACTCCCTGCGACCACTTGTTGATATGAAGACGCACATCTTCTTCCTGGTCCAGAAATCCATCAACTGGGGGCGTGTTCTCCACCGCCTCTCCTTCCTGGTTATCCTAGTTGATACGACTCAGCCCGTCCGCCCGGTTCTTGCTACCAGGAATCCCTTCCAACTCGAAGTTAAACATCCAGATGTACGTTAGCCATCTGGCAACCGTCGGATCCGATGGAACGTAATTCCTTAGAGAGTAGGCTAGGGCGGTCGGGTCCACTCTCAAAATAAATCTCCTGCCGAAGACGTAGTTTCGGAAGATCCGTAGACAGTGGAGGACAGCAAGGCTCTCCCTTTTGAACCGAGAGTAGTTTCTTTCTGTCGTATAGAGAGTCCAACTCTCAAATCGCAAGGGCCTTTCCTTTCCTTCCATGTCTGTTTGAATTAGAACTCCTCCTAAGGCAGTTGGCCCCACATCTGTTTCAACAATGAAGGGTCGCATTTCCGTGGCATCATAATCTGGCGCTCCTAACACCAACCCTCCCTCTCRAAATTCCTCTTTYATTCTGGCCACCACCTCKTCTTGTTCTTCACCTCAAACCCACTCTTGATCCTGACGAACTAACTTCCTCAGGTGCTCMGTCTTAGYGGCGAAGTTCTTGACGAAGRCCCTCCAAAATCCATACGTACCAAGGAAGCTTCTGACATYAGTTATTSAGTGGAAAGGAACTGGYCACTCAGTAATTTTGTCCGTCTTCTTCGCATCCAGCCTTCGGCCCTTCTCGMTGYAGACGAAMYCTAAGATAGTTGYTTYCCTCATGCAGTGTCTGGATTTGGCCCCGCTCGCCGTGAGGTTATGCTCCTYGAGCAGGCTCATAACCTTATCGAGCTCCTGGATGTGCTTCCAAACAAAGCGCCTTACCCCTGGCGAGACTTCGTCGCTCTCCTTCATTGCCGGCCCCTTTAYTKYCAAATCATCGATGTATGGCTGTSTGATATGAGGGTTGACTGACTGCATAACACGAATCATGGCCCKTTGGACCATTGCTACCRCGTTGRTCCACCCTTGTGGGGCCACRTTCATGTGGATTAATCCTCGYGGTGTGTGCATAGCCGTCACCGGCCTATCCGGCGGGTAGACTGGAAACTGATCATATCCTGAGTAAAGGTCTATAAGTGAGATTATAGGCCTTCCAACACAGGATTCTGACAAAGCGTCCSCATTTGGTAGTCCTYCTGCATCYCGCACGGTTACCGCATTCAGCCTCTGCAAATCTTGCACCCACCGCAGCGTCCCGTTAGGTTTGATGAAGCAGAACCACGGGGACGCATACGGCCCACTCGAATAATCGGCGACGTACGTTCGTATTTTGCCGTCGAGGTAATCCACCACCTTCTTCTCCTCGTCAGGATTAGGATATCGCGCCCCTCTCATGTTCCAAGGTTCGTGTGGCACGGTGTGGATACGGATCATAGGTATCTTGTCCACATCAAGCCTGCCACGCTCCTCGTCACTAAACGCATTGGCGCGATGCTTCCTCTTCATCAACTCCACCATCAACGTTCGTTCCTGAGGCAGTAGGAAGTCGGGCTCCCCTATAATCAACCCCCCTTCATTTTCTTTGTTGATTCGACATGGTCCTGCTAAAGCACTCTCCCTCATTCGCCGTATCAACCTTCGTTCCCTCTCGTAATACGCTTTCTCGTCCTCTGTAACGAGGACGGGAACCGGGCGGCACTTCTTGTCTACCGTCTTGTACCGCCTTTGGGAACCCTGCTTGAGCCGTCCCCTAAAAAAAGCCGACTCACAGATTGCGCGTGCGCGGACGCGGTGTTCGTCCCTTCGTCCGGAAGACGATATACCAGCTCCAATCTCCCAGCCTCGGGGTATTCCAGAACTTACTCCCTCAAGGCCTAGATGGCATCCGGATCCGCCATCTCATGTGCGGTCAACAAATCCATGGCCTTCCCGACATCCGATAGGCTAAGGGAAAACGCTTTCACCTCTTCTTCTCCTTCTGGCTCCGCCTGCAGCCTTCGGCGCTCGCCCTCCGATTCTTCGATCGTGAAGGATTCTGGGTTAGGCCGGTTTCTTATATTCCTTGGTCCTGTATTTCTGCAGGTAATTATCTCGTAATTCCCGCAGGAGGGGTCACATAGGAGGAGGATCAGAGTACTGTCATGCTTGTTGAACATCATGGTTTCTGTTCTACTAAAAAATTCCCTCCCTAGGAGGATCCCATGGTCCACGTCCGGCATGATGAAGAAGCAAGCTCGGGCGTTCACCTTTCCAACCTCAATAAGTACATTCGAGGCTGTTCCACAAAACACGGCCTTGCAGCTGGCGCCGTGCAAAATACCGCAGTCAGATCGGTCTATGTCTAGCCCGAATCTGATACCATCCGCCTCCCGGATGATGTTCATTTCCGCCCCGGTGTCCACCATTGCTGCGCATTTGGAACCTTTCACCACTAAGTCCACCGTGCCGCAGGCTACGCACTTCCAATCCATCTTCATGCCCGACTCCGCCCACTCCGCCTCCTTGGGCAGGATCGTACCTAGATGGACGTTGGGCACCAAGCGCCGCGACAACCTCCCCTTCAGTTCATCGCGGAGCCGCGGGGCCGACGCTAGGATTTCCTTTAGGGTCATGAGGTCATTATGCCCTTCCAGCAGCCGGTCAATCACTTTCTCTACGTCAAATCCTTCTTCCAACCGAACCGCATACTTCTTCCTTTTGGGTGGTCCGTCACGTACGACCGGCTCGGCCTCTCCCCTGGTCCGCTTTTTCCTTGCCCGCTACTCCACTCTCTGATCCTCTTCTCGGCACAACCTCTCGTCTTCTTCCACCTCATCATCGTCGTCCTCCACTTCCACGGCCTCTTTCCTCCTTCCTGGTTCGGGCTCCCTCCTCGGAGGCTCTTGGTTGGCACTGGCCTTGGCCTGACTTCTCGTTTGTGCTGCCTGTGCCAGCCGGGCCTGCGGAGTGAGGGGTCTCCCCATCATTCCCGATTGTGGGCTTGGCCCCAYCACATTTACTCYGGGTCGCCCAGRCGCTRACTCCGGGCCGGAGTCGTACAGGAATACCTTGGGGATGCTAGACTTTCATTCCCTTACTTCTCTACAGAGGTTCACCAACTTCTGTTGGTACCTTCCAACCTTGTTCAGAAGGTCCTCCATCTTTCCCAATAAGACGGACGATGGTTCCACCCTTGTTTCTCCGTCCTCGTCATCCGATTCGACGATTATGGGCTCTTCCCTCTTGCTTTCTCCTCGTGGCCCTTGAGTCACTTCCTCGTCGCTCCCTACTTCCTCTACCCCAATCAGTGGTTCCTCCTTTTCCTGCCATAACGTGAATCCCTCTATTCCCACCGACGGTCCTTTCCTCTCCTGCCATAGCCTGAACATGGCAGGGGGTGGCGGCCCGGCTGCCGCCCTTCGTTGGGCTTCTGCTCTCACTCCTTCAAGCCTTCTGTCAATGGCCTCCCCAAACTGATCATAAATGTTCCCATCCATGGTGGAGGAGATCAGCCTGCTCCTCTCGTCTTCCCGTCTTATGTTACAGAACCTTATGGTGTGGACCGTGTGACCTTGCTGGTCACAATGCTGGCAGATGGCCGTCCTCCAGTCAAAACGGGGTCTCCCATACCCCTGACTTCCCTGATCCCCCTGGCTTTGATCCCCCTGGCCTGGGTACCCTTGGCCTTGATTCCCCTGGCCTTGGTACCCCTGGCCTTGGTTTCCTCGGCCTTGACTATTCCATTGCCCTCCTCTTCCGCTGCCATTCCTGCCCCGCCCCCTTCCTCCACCCTTCCCTCCGTTGCGTTGATTGCCCTGCCCCTGGTTCCCACCTCCACCCACGCTTCCCTGTGAACTGGGAGCAGGTGACAGCGGCGGGGCCAAAGGCTGGGCCTGGGCTGCGGGGTAGATGGGTGGCGGCATACTCATTTATGGTCCGGCTACTGGCGACGGGCTACCCCATGGCACAATTGCATTGATCACCGGCCAGGGCCACTGTCCGTAGGAGGGTACCCCTCCCTGCGAGGGGCCCKCACTAGWCGAGGGAGCCGCCACATTTATAGRGGTTGCTGTCAAAGCCTGAGGCGCCTCCGCTTTTCCTGATCCTTGTCCGCCCTGCGCCAAGTTACRCACTTTGCGYTGGGCCTTCGYCAGRCGCTCACCGRCTCTTCCTCTTCCCAGAGCTCCTCTTGAACARCCTCCTCTATCACCGGCTCCTTTCCTTTTACTTGGAMAGCCGTTACTACCCTCCTTTGCACCACCGGCTCTGTCGCATACCCTTGTTGTGCCAAYACGTCTGTAACAATCYTTGTTACCCCCGGGGTCCCRGAAGCGGTCGCATCTCTTTCCTTTCTCTTCTGCCTTTGCAGGCGTACCTGACGTTGCTCCRCCTGGTCCAAACATCCAACTTCCACCCCTCTGTCAATGGTGGCCCAGGTGAGCTTGGTGCTACCTTCTMCATGTCTTGTTAACTCAAYGGCCTCCGATGYCGTGAGTARCCCCAGAAAAATGGCGCACTGCGCCTCCTCCGAAATCCCATGGACCTTCYRTGCCCTCTTCTTGAATTCCTGAACAAAAGYYYCTATCGTYGTAAAGTCCTCCTTGTTCATTGCCTCAAGGTCCGTGGTGGTCAACAATCCATCTCCCAAGYGGTACTTCCTCTGCATTCCTTCCTTGAACCTTTCCCAGCTACCGTGAGCCGCATCTATAACTTTCTTTACTTCCTGGTGGTAGCWGTGRARAACGTACTGCAGGATGCGCTGAAATTTTACAACATCCGACCGCCCGACCAGAGCTTGTTCCACCCTCTCCAGCCATTCTRAGACTCTCTYCCCACAAAAATGGAAGGTATCGACCTTGGRGATATTGCTCGGATTTCTTTCATGCCTATCAATAGCCGCGATRAGGTCATCGAGCGTCAGGCCTTTCTTGGGAGCACCTGACGCG